TTCGTGTTGGAAAGTACATCAGTCGTGGGTCTATTTGAACTAGGTTCGACATTTATTCCAATGTTAGAAGAATCAACATTTGTTGGTTTGTGAACTTCGGCTGCTAACTTCAAGAGCAAACTGTCCAAATCACTTACAACTTTCGTGGTCGGTTTTTTACCTTCAGCATTTCTGAAATGTGGCGATTGAACCCTGCTACCCTGGATTTCACCCTTACCCTTACCAGACTGGCTTTTATTTGAGGGTGAAATTGACTTTCCATCAAGAGTATCATCTACAGTACTTTGGTTGATATAATAATTCTCCTCGGGCTTGTTGTTGTATTTTTCTTGTGCTTTGTCAGAATACTTCTCCTGGCTTTCAACATAATTCTCCTGGCTCTTAGATATCCCAACTTGTACCGCACTATCAGACTGGCTTCGTTTATGTGGTGAAGTATAATACTCGATCACAAATGAATCTGAGACAAACTTAATTTCGGGTTTACTTGAGTTACTGAAAGTCCTTTTCGGCTTTGGCGGTGGCTTTCTCTTTGGTTGGGGTTTTGGGCTTTGAAGATCTTGTGGTTTTGGCGTCTCAAAGACTTCGTCTGTACCGGGTGCGGGTAAGCCCGAAGGGTCAGCAATTGTTCGGAGGGTATCGGCTATGGGTACGCCAGCTGCCGATGCGGTTTCTAGGGTGTTTGAGAGGTCTTCAAGGTCATAGGTCTTGCGTTTCTCATCAGGTAGATCTGATGGCACACCTTGACATGACCCTGGAAACAATGAAATAATCATTAACCCACTCTTCCCTTGATGAGTGAAATCGTCTGGCGTTAGGTAGAGTAAAAAAATAAAGTAGGATGCATCAGGGTGCATTACAGGGTTAATAGAGGAATGAATTGAGAAACAGTGGATGCATAAATAACTTGGTGCCTGGCACTAAATTATTAAAACTTGATAAGATCCCACAATACATACTTCCGGAAGGTACAACTCCTTTGCTATCTAGCCAAGACACAGGCTTTAAAGTGCGACTAACCCCAAATATAATTTTTGCTAGGTGTAATATTTGGGTCATTCTGAGAAAAAATGTAATGTATCTTTATAGGAAAATATCCCATCTTGATCAACTTTTTCACTGTCAAAGTTCCGGATATGATGTCATTAGGTGAATTTTGGTACAAAGAACAAAGGAAAACTAATTTGCAATTCACCTAATGACATCATATCCGGAAACTTTGACAGTGAAAAAGTTGATCAAGATAGGATTTTTTATTATTATGATACATTACATTTCTTCTTCGAATGACCCAAATATTACACATACTATAAATCATATTAGAGGTTAGTCGCACTTAACTTTTTACAAGGTCACATAGCCAAAGTTATGTACTTTCCTGAAGGATGTATTGCTTTGAGCAATGTTCGTATCCATATTTGGAGATGCAGTTGAGATTTTCAACCTTCAAAAGTTCGGGAACTTTTTGGGAACATGTTCAGTTACAGGCACCAGGTATTGGATAAACAAGGGCACTTCCCTATAATTCTTAACATTCTATGTCAATCACAAAAGTTCAGTAGCACAACATGGTACAAAACGGACCTGAATACAAGTTCTATCTTGTGATTTGAAAATGATGAGACACAAATGTCAAATTCAGTGATAGAAATTTTGTTCAGAGTCTGTTTTCTACACTATTTTAATATGAAGTTATTAGGAGATAATGATTTTGTACATTATTTTCTACACTATTTTATGAAGTCATTCAGAGATGATTTTGTTCATACCTGACAATCTCTTCAAGGCATCCAACATTGGCACTCCTGCATCTTGAGCTTTCTCCAAACTCTCTGCAACGCTTTCCAATGTATATGTATTCCGTTTCGATGGATCCATCTTTCCCCTGCTTCTCCGGAGTGGCGCCTGGCTGCCTTTTCCTCCCAAAAGATGAGAAAAACTTTGAAGCATTGCAGACGGCTTGTAAACAGCTTTCTTTCGAACCAGTTTAAACTGGTTGTCTATCGTTGGAGATTTACCAGTTGGACTTTCAACAAAGCTGCTGCCATTGCCCAGAATGCGAGTTTTGGAACTTGTTGGAAACTTTAAGTCAGTAACATCAGATTCCAATTCAAGTGTTTGAGGTTTAGTATTTCTTGTATCATTGTTCGCTGAAGAAGAAGGCTTTTCATTTTGCAAGTTGGTCAAATTACCATCGGATTTTAGTTCTGTATTTTTCACATTAGTATCGTTCTGATTTTGCAAGTTGGTCAAATTACCATCGGATTTTAGTTCTGTATTTTTCACATTAGTATCATTCTGATTTTTGTCCGCAGTCCCATCAAGGTTGTCTAAAACTTTAGTCATTGGCAACCCTTGACTGGTAGCTATATCTAACGAGTGAGCAACATCGTCCAAACTGTACGTCTTACGATTTGCCAACTTCGAAATGTCTGGTGACGACTCTGAACTCATCCTACGGTGCACAGCAATACATTGCTCTTGAGTAAGGCCGAGCTTGTTAGCCAGATAATTCTGGATACCAGGTGATATATCTTCCAAACTCTCGGAACGGGAAACTTTATTTGTACTTGGGGTGTTTGTGGAAAAATCAGGAGTGGAACTTGACTTCAACTGGGCCCTGACCTTTGAATCAGACATTGATCTTGACCGTACTTCAGACCGTGAACTCAAATCAGAGCTGGACAAGATACCGGAAACAGTTTGCGATCGTTGTTTCATCACAGTCACATCAGAAAGTTTTTTCGATGATTTGACAACCCTGTTTCCTTTAGTGGCATCAACTTTCTTTGGACCTAGTGCGAGTTTCAGGGGTGAGAGAGTTGGGAGTGTTGGGAGTGCTTTTAGTCCTTTCATTTGCTCTATCCACTGACCAGGGGTTAACTCTGTCTCTCGTCGTCCATCTCCCTCATCGAGGCATAAATCAGCTAACACCCCATCGACAGGCTTAGCGTTGTCATGGCAACCATTTTCTGACAATTTCTCAGAATTGTTGCCCACATTGCCTTGTCCAGACAATTTATTACTATCCTCAAGAACAAATGTATTCCGTTTCTCTGACTCTGCTGGCATAGTATTATTATTATCACTAATATTTTCAATTATCGATTGTTCTGCAAACGCCAGATTAGACTCAGAAAGATCATATGTCTGACGTTTAGATTCCATCAATGAAATTTCACCCAAAGATTCGTCAATGCTTTTCCCAGAATTTACGCTACCATCGAGCAAGTCAGAAACATCACTGAGATTATATGTACCTCTTCTTACCGAAATAGCTTGTTCGCAGCTGGTATTTTGGTCTGACTTTTCAGACAGCGTTGAAGTATCTATATTATAATCTTGTTGATCTGACACATCACTTAGATCATAGGTACCCCTTCTGTTTTGATTAAACATCAGACTACAATCATCGTCAGCTTCTTCTAAAGACTCTTGCTTGTTGTTATCAGAATTTAAACTCTCGTTTAATGCAGTTTCTACATTTTCAAGGTCATATGTGGCTCGTTTTAACTTTCCACTAGAATCGTTTTGCGTGCTATCCAAGCTCAATTCCAATAACATCTCCTCGAGACAAGTGTTTTGTTCAAAACTTTGGTCTAATTTCGACGACACAGCATCCAAATCGTACGTACTTCGCTTTATACTTGAGTTAGAAAGGTCAGCTTTTGAATAATCTTGTGAAATATCGTTCGAACTTGACTCCAAGGGGCTGTCATTATTGACAGACGCGTCTAGCAAATTTGAAAACTCGTCAAGGTCATACGTCCCGCGTTTTGTCAAATCTGTACGGCTAGTTGCTGATGCATTTGTAGTTAACGTATTTCCCTCGATGTTTTTAAGCTGTGTGCCATTCACCGATGCAAGGGCATCAAGTAATGCTTTCCCAGATGCCATAACTTGATCCAAAGATTTTGAAACTTGCTCTAGTGAATAAGTGCGTCTGTTTAGATTTTCTCCACAAGTAATTTCTCCATTCGAGTCCGATATAGTATTACTCGTACTCGATCCAAAAACATTGCTTGATATTGGTTCGGTATAGATGCTTTGTTCAACAGGATTCGAGTCCGACTTGTTTTGATTGTGACTTGATCTTTGATCAGAATTCAATATTGTAGCCTCTGAGCCAGCGATCATTCGCGAGTTTGTTATTATTTTTTGTTTACATACTTTTATCGACAAATCTGTATCTCGCTGCTTTGCCTTTTTCGCCGATTTCCTGCGATTTTTCGACAAAAACATGTCTACTGTTACACTTGCAACACTTAATACACTTTTCGAAATATAGGCCAAGTATTTTGGCCAAATCAGTCATTAATCAAATTATTTTGACTGTGCGCACTATCGATTTCCGAGTGCAATTTCCAAATTTCTAAGCTCTTTATTTCGATTTGGAACAAACTGAAACTCAACAAAGAATAGTTCTTTCGAATACTATTGTTCGTATATTCGTTCCTTATTGGTTTAAACGTTCCAAAATGTAGCAATTTATAACCTCGGAAAATTCCAAGCTGAAGCACGACGATTTTCTGCGTTTTGTATAACAAAGCAAATTTGCACTCCTAAAAGTTGTCAGTTTTGGACAAAGAACAGATAGTTATTGCTATATTGCAACGCCTTCGCACTTTAATCGTTTTCCCGTCCGTAGGAAATTTGTGTTAAAAACAAACTGCACTTGACCGGCCTACAAACTTGTCGATTTCAAAATGAATGTTGATTTCCGAACTTCCAATTTCGATCCAAAATCTGATTCCTGAAGCGCGAAATTACTCCTCTTTGTGCGATACACTTTCCATTGTTGTACCCAAAACTTCAATTTCTCGTTGTTCTCCCCAAAAATTTCTACTAAAAAATTTCCACAACTTTTAAAATGTTTATTGTCGATTTTCAGTTTTCACACCTACTGATGATTAATTTCAAGCTTTTCCATAATTGTTCATTTCCGCAATTGGAATCCAAAATTTAGTGCTGCAAATCTTTAAAGCACAAAAGCCTCTGCGTGGTGGTCTAAAAGGTCAGATTTCGTACAAATCCACACAAAAAATTCAAATTTAAAAACACTCACTTAAATGGCTTCCAAATATTCAGTGATGTCAATTTCACATTGTCAATCGTCGCAAAGTATGTCAATTTCGTTCAATGGAACGCTTGCACGTGTAATGGAATATTCTTGTCTCTGTCTGCTACAATCAAGTGCTTATTGTTCCAAAATATACACCTTTTCTTGCAAAAATAATCGTCAAGGCGAACTTGAAATGAGTCTAAGTTACAGTCTCGCTGGGCGGCAATCAGTTTCCAGCTTCGTATAGAGTCAAGTATCCCCCCAGACGAAAGCCAGCTGTCACCGAATGCGAATTTAGAAATTCCTGAATGCGAAATAACCACAACTGTTGAAAATTTTTAATACCTTCAAAATCAAGATGCCACGTTTACATCAATACAATACTTGAACCATTTTCCTCTCTTAATTTGTCATTGAACCCCTTATGCAGCATAAAACCCGCACAAACCAAGCAATAAAAACTAAATGAGACTATTTATTTGCTACAAAAGCACGCGTTCGAGTCGAATCTGTTTTGTTTCGTCGGATTATTGTAATTTACATTTTGTAAAAAGTTTGTGTAATTAGAATATACGTAAGTATTAAATTAGAATAAGAATGGGTCAGACCAGACACGAATCACCCAGCGTTACTTATTAAAATTAAAAACAACAGGCGATTGTTAATAACAGTACACAGAATCGAAAACAATGTTGCAAATTTTTGAATGGTATGCCACGCTTCACAGTGACTTAATGACTGGTATAGAAATCGCAAGGCGCTCGCTGCGTGTAAGCATGCTGTCTCATTCTTCTTCAAAATTGCCGAAAGTTAAGACATGAAACTAATATTTACTTTAAAGTCGCGTCTATGTTAAAATCTGCTGTATATCTGTTAATCCTAGCCTAACAATAAAAGCTAAACGGCGTTTAATTGTACGAACACTCGTTAATTTTCACAACCATGCCAACTCATTAATTCAAGATTTCTGGCATCTATTTTAAATAACCTACTCATAATTTTGGCATAAAGACACTTTAAAACATGCTTTCAAACAATAATTAAATTTTGCTTGAGAAAATGGTTAAATTAACATACAAAACGCATGTATATATTAAACACAAAACGCATATATAAAAGTTGACTCGCACCCTATTTTTAACCAAGGGCCAAGGCGGCTTATTTAAAAGTGCTTTTCTTATTTATGTTTAATAAATGAAAATACAGATATCTAATATCCGGTATTAACCTTGGCATATTTAGTGTAATAAAACCACAAGTTACCGCATTAAATTGAAAGCAGTTGCTAAGCATATGGCATTTTTCAAGCTTGAATGTTGGAGATTAAACATGTCTAAATACAGATGTCAACAATATGCTTTTATCTGTTTCGCACATTAAATACTTGGAAAGTAGATTAGTCCACAGTTATTAACTATGATTAGTCGTTTGGTTATCAGATTTGAGCTTATATAAGATCGTCAGCACTCGATGACGTCATCTTGTACCTGGACTCTGCACCTCAGAACAGACGTAAAATCGAAGTTTCATGCATAAAAAACTGCAACATTGTTCATGCTCTAGAAGTTTGACTTCGCCGTCTTTTCAATTTTTTCATCATGATAATTTTTGACCGAGCAAGTTGAGATTCAGAATCGCCATTTGTGTTTAAAGACCTTGAGTTTACGGATCGGAAGCTTGGTGAAATTAATGTGTTTTCCACAAACAAATCAAATATCGCCATGTAAACCTTCAAAAAACCTTACAGATTTAAGCTCATTTATATAATTTTCAGCGCATAAAAAGTTCTGGAAAGGATGTTGATTATTTTTTTAGAGCTTTCGTTCCACAAGCCTTGATCTTCACTTATAAGGAAATAAAATCATGTTACCTTTTTTCATCACATCTGAACTCTCATTCACTTCAGAGGCCATTTCTCCCCAGTTGGTTTTTTTTCCTCCGGACTCCAAATACCGCCCATCACCCACCGATCTCTCCTCGTTTCTTGCCTGACCAAACCAAGTTATGGTTGGCCCTTCATTTCTCGTCTTATCCTCTATATCTGCAAAGGTTCTAAGTCCATTCCCTTTAGAAATTTCTCCAGATTTGTCTGCCAACTTAGGAAATTTAATGTCCTTCGAATCACTTCCATTATGATTTTTACTTTTCGTAAAAGTTGAGTAACGGTTGTCATTTCGTCGTTCAGACCAATGATTTACCGCTGGTTGCCGCTGATCAGTAATGTCTGACTCATCGCGGACGTTATCTCTCAAGGAGTTTTCACTCCCCCCGGATTTAAACCGCTGGTCAGTATAGTTTGATTGCTCGTGGGTGCCACCTTGTTCCAGATCACTGGACTGTGATGTAGAGGTACTCCCACGGGAATTCACCGATTCACGTTCAACCACAGGAATTCCAGCAGCGAATGCGGTCTCGGGGGTGTGGTTGGCATCAGATATTATATAACTCCCTCGGGGAATCGAATTATCTTTCACACACGGTTGGCTATTTGATTTTCGTGGTGTTTGGGCTTTGGGTGGGGTCAAATTAATGTCTCTACCCCCTTCTGAATTTTTACGTTCTTGACGAAGAAACTCTTGCTGGTCAAGTGTTGATGACATTGAGTTGTTGAGAGAGTTCCCCGGGGAACCCCCCGGTTCTGTGGTTTCTGATATGGGGGAGAGCATATCAATAGGGGGTTCGTCCTCTGGTAAGGAGTGAAGGTCTAGGTCTAGGTTATGGTGAGGTTCATCAGGCAGGGCCAGGTCAGGATGGTCTGATGCAGGGAAAGAAGGTTGATGGGTTGGGTGTTGAGATATCACGGCTGGTATTTCATCGGATTTTGCATCAAACTGTTCTTCATTGTCACTTGTCGGAGATGTTGCGTCTGAAATAAGAAATGATGTTCAGATTTATACAAAAATCAGAACACCTGTCGCGACGCATCATTCGTATGATTGTAAACACGAAACGAACTATCCAAGCGAACTAGCTACAATGGCAAGGTCTGTGAAAGTCAAGTATTTAACCCACTGAACTACCGCTCTCCCCTTGACGAGTAAATCGTCTGGCGTTAGACAGAGTAAAATAATAAAGTAGGGTGCATTGGGACGGAACGCAACTCAATGGGTTAAATAATCATACTGTCCGCAAGACCTCTCTGAAAATCACATCAAGTGAAAGAGTTTCCTGTAAATAAAGATTATTATTATTTTAATTTAAATATTTACTATATTTTTTAATGTTTCTCAAATGGCGGATGTATTTAAAAATAAGCTAAATGTCCTCTCAAACGGCGGATGTATTCAAAAATAAGTTAATGTCCCACACACAGAGACAAATATTTGCCATACGACTCTCATCACCCAGTAAGCCATAAATGATCCGTAGCAAAAATTTTGCTTCAAAGAGCTGAATCCTTGCCGTCACTGAAACGGTGATTCTCAAGATAATGAACGTGAATATGTACTAAATGTTTTAGGGAAAAACGATGACCCAAAACGTTTTCTCAACGATTGCTTAAGATCACCTGTTTGTAGGAACCAAAATAACTCCTAGGGTGATACCTCTGCTAAGGGTTATGCAATAAAACCAAACGTTGCCTTAAAACCCTATTTGACTTTAGGCCATATTTTCGTAAAGCCAAAAGATCCTGTTAAAACAAATCAGAAAACTCATGCTGTATATTCTATACCATGCCGTGACTGCGAGAAAGAGTATTTGGGTCAGTCTACACGCCAGTTTGGTACACGGCTAAAGGAACATCAAAAGGCTGTTACAACTTTAAACAAGGGAAAATCAGCCTTAGCAGAACATGTATGTTACACCAAACACGAGATTGCGTGGGAAAACTCTAAAGTAACTACCACAAACAATCGCTATGGTCAAAGACTTTGCTTAGAAGCGTGGCATATAAACATGAGTCATCATGCTTTGAATAGGGATGACGGTGCCTATTTGCTAGAGGAATACATGCATCTCATTGGCAGGTGACGTCATCCTTTGGGTATTAGGGACCTTAAGCAAACAGGACGACGGCTATTCATACAATGATATTGCTGATCTCGTACAAAAGAAATGAATAGTTAAAAGCCCCACGGGAGTTAGAGACGTTGTGTTAGGGCTTTTAACAACAGCATACCAGAGATTTTCACGTCTCGTGTACAACGCAAACATGTCAAGACGCGACAAATGAAACAACAAATTTGCTCAAACTAAACTCAATTCATATCTACATGCAGTGGTCTGGATAATACATATTAAACAACTCTTTTTCGCAATATTTTATTTGAAGAAGTTTGTTTTGGCTGTCGTCGTCGCGTTGTTTAAGGTCCCTATTTAAGAAGCCACGATTGCAACTTTAGATCACCCATGATGAAGACACTAGACTAGTAGACTGGAGTGTCGAAACGTTGGGTCTTGATTACAATTCGACTGGGCTTTGTAATCATTTATTTAAACCAGAGTAGCGAGCGAAAACATGATTGATATACCTGGTTGCAGTGAACGAACAAACTTTAAAAAGAAAGCTTTTCGGTTTTGAATGCATTTCTTAACGTAAATACGCGACATAGAAAGAAGTTGGCTCTGAAGAAACTGACCTGAGATATCCTCCTGACTCCAGCCACACAAACTTTTCTTCATGCGCCTCGACAGCAACGCCTCGTGACCACCACCAGGTTCAACACTTCGTGGTACTTTCTTCCTTAGCTTCACCACCACACCATGTACCTCCACCGTATCCTTGTCGTCAGGCGTCTCGACCTCATCTGATGACGTCACATTTGATGATGTCATATTCGATGACGTCATATTCGATGACGTCATATTTGATGACGTCATACTTGATGACGTAATGTTTGATGACGTCATATTTGAGGTAATATTCCCTGACGTCATACTTGATGAATTCTTGTTAGATAGTGTCATATTTGATGCGATGCCAAGATCCACGGACTCGTTCTCAATGTAATTTTGAATTTTTAAAGCAATGTTTCGTTCCTGATGCTTCAGGCTGTTGGATGTCGGGATATTCCCTGAATCTGGCCTGCTGTTGTTGACAGACGACTTGTCAAAACTGTTCGGATTCCTAGAGAATAAATTAAAAACGTATTTACACTATACGTTGTTTAGGTTGTAGTAAAATTCGTTCAGCCTTTCCCTCCAAGCATTGTTGACCTCATTACCTTTTTGGAGGAAATTGCTTTATGTTGAATGATGATTGAACATAATTTGACATGCAATTGGACCTATTACCTAATGAACAAAATTTTGATCTAGACAAGTCTAGACAAAAAATTCATCACAGCTTGAACGAGCATCACAAAATTAGCAACAGTCCGAAGTTTCGTTGCGAAATGTTGTAAAATGCGGATAATATAGCCTTGCGAAGTTTGCCGTTTTTCAGTCATTTTGTATTACACGCAGAAAATTGATACCTTTTTTCAGGAAGCGGTATCGATTTCCTTCAAAACACAGAATTTACCTAAAATCGAAAATTTTCTGGGACCAGATGAACACGTGGTCCACCCCAGTGTGTGTAATGGTATTTACCTGGACATTGGTGCACTGTGACTCCTACCACCACCAACACCGTCATGACCATTAACCATCACATCACCATTCTGTGAACACGATGTCTTACTCCTTGATATCTCCGTTTTAATCTCTTGGCCAGATTTTACATTTCCCTCACATTTCGAAAACATTTCTGCCAACAATGCAACGATGTTGATCTTGAGTGAAGGAGAAGCATAGAGAATGTCTTCAATTTTCAACGCCAAGACTGAAGTACAAAAGTACTGACTACAAAGGCCTAGGAAGACGTCAAGATTGCGCGTCGAATCTTCTGTTGAGAGTTCTGACGAACAGCAGATATCTGTAGGAGAAATATTGAACATGTATTATGATCCCTTCATACCACACCATGCAATACCCTACCTTATTACACCACTATACCAAAATGTACTAGACTATATATACAGCCACCACTAAACGACATCATAGAACACCACAACACGTCATATCATACCACACCAAATTATACCAAGCCACACATAGCATCAGATCATACCACACGATACCATACAATACCCTACCATAGCCATAGGTCCATATTATAGACCACTCTACCAAAATGTACTAGACTATACAACACCACTAAACCACATCATAGAACACCACGTCATATCATACCACACCGAATTATACCAAGCCACATATAGCACCACATCACATATTCACATCATATATCATACCATACTATATCATATCAGACCGGTATGGTCTACCATATATACCACACCATATATACCAAACCATTACATACCACACTACATCACACCATACCATACCATACCATACCATACCATACCATACCATACCATACCATACCAAACACCAAAACAGTAGCAGACCAACATCATGCAACACTATACAAATTACTTAACCATACCTTCAATATTAATGACACTAGGTTCATAAAACATCAAAACACCAAGCAATGATCTACCATCACACAATCCTTTCAGTAAATCATCAATAACAGGGAACACAACTGTTGCTGTCCCCTCCTCTGAACGCAAACCCGCTTTCTTCACTTGCCCGCGGTTACGCAGTAGTTTTCCTGCGCTACTTCGTGTAGGCTGGGTATATTTAGCATTCACAGCGACGTTAGTCTTGTTCACCCAAAGTAGCAAAGCATCTTCAAGGTCGAAGGGTAGTTCGCGCGATGCACTGAACGTGGAAAATCGTCTAAAAAATAATTAAAATTCTCTATTGCTGCAGTTGTCATGTAGTTTCATTTTAACCATTTCCCCGAATTTATTATAACACTGTCTAAGAACAGATGATTTTACTCGTCAAGGGAAGAGTCTTGCGCTTTAATGGGTTTGATAGTTGATAAATAAAGTTTAATTTTCTTGTACATCATTTCTGTAGAACTTAACTTAAAGCATTTAAAAAATTTATTGTACGACAGTGCAAAAAATACCTGACAGCTTTTACAACACTCTGTATGCTGACAACTTGAGAAGAATACGCAGTCATCAATGCATCCATCAGAGCGATATGTGCATCCTAGTGTGACAGATAAAATATAAAATAAAAGTACACCAATTCCTTATTTATATCTCTACCAGTTCTAAACTCCTCTCCCTATAGATTCATTACGGATCATCTCTTATTGTTCCAGTGTTCCCACAGGAGAAAAACTAAACTGTGTTTATAGTGGATAGCTCTGTCAGTTCTAAACTGTTCTTCCTAGAGGTCCAGTAAGAATCATCACTTATTGATCCAGTGTTACTACAGGAGAAAACCTAAACTAAACTAACTTTATTTATACTGGATAGCTCTATTAGTTCTAAACTGTTCTTCCTAGAGGCCCAGTAAGAATCATCACTTATTGATCCAGTGTTACTACAGGAGGAAACCTAAACTAAACTAACTTTATTTATACTGGCTAGCTCTATCAGTTCTAAACTGTTCTTCCTAAAGGTCCAGTAAGGATCATCTCTTATCAATCCAGTGTTACTACAGGAGGAAACATAAACTTTGTTTATACTGGATCGCTCTATCACTTCTAAACTGTTTTCTCTAGAGGTGCAGTGAAGGTCTTTTTAATATTTTTTAGTAGTTCAGGCACAAAACGTGTCATAGAATACCACCTATATGGGACCCCAATGTTTGAGATAAATCTTTCCAATACCTGATTGAATGGATTGGTCTGTTCCAACGAGGCATCAGTAACGGCAACATCAGTATTATCCACAACATATACACCATTTCTAGACAGAGTCTGTATAACTGACCAATGACCAGCAAGCATCACTTTTCCAGGAAATATTCTGGTACATACAGTACAATAAACCTCTCCCTTGCAAAGGAACTCAACAATCTCAGGATGGACAACAAATCCATTTTTCTAAGAAAACAATGTTTGAGTAAATAGGTGAAGAAACACATCATATACGTGCAGGTTTTGTAATAAAATGCTCTCAAGGTTATGAGATGTATTCCAGGGCAAAGGCTGATAAATTAACCAGTTTGGCAGGGTGTTATAGCTATACTAAAAAAATTAACTAAAAATTTCCCAATTTAGATCTGCCAAAAATAACATAACTGTTATGGAATTCAATATATAAGATTGACTTTAAAACTTTGGTCATGAAGAATTAAGAAAAAACCTAAAATATATTTGGTATGTGTATACAGAGCAAGTATCAAGATATTGGGTATGTTGCTCTTCAAACCTTAGACGAGAAAGTCAACCTTAGACGAGCAACTGAGCAAGTGACATTGTTTTGCATGCTATTTTTACTAGAATTTAGTATAAAGTATACTGTTCCAGGGTTTGAGATAACAGTCCCGATCATGGCGATTGGTAGTCGTGACTTTCCCTGCTTTTCTGATTGAAAATCCTGCTTTTTCGCCAATCACGAACAATTTCATGCCGATCATTGATCGGCACTTATTTGAAGCCTTGCTGTTTTAGTATGCAAAACAATGTCAGTTTCTCTTCAAAGGTTTCAAGTGAGTTTCTTCATACTTTGTCAAGTCTCTGTATGGGACTTGTGACCGTGTTGGGAACATCTTCTAGTCCACCATCTTCAGTTGCATGAAAAACCAACCAGAATAATGAAGCACAAAATTTTGCCTGAAAATATGAAATTATTAATGTTTAGTAAGGCTATCTCAAACATGGTGGTCCAATGTAGGTAGTGTCCTAGCTATAATAAGCCACATATATTTTGAACCGTAAAATTAGCCTCATGCAATTTCATCAAGCTCCCCTCCTTTGAAAGAACCCTTAAAGGCACTTACATGAACTTGCTTGGTACAACATTGGATAATTATAAACATGCCATGCACTTGGACATTAGTGTGTGACTGCCCATGTCATAAATCGTAAACAGTAAATGTACACAAGCAAAAGTCTCACATCTTGTAGCAAGTCTGCCAACAAGTTGTGAACAAGTTGTCTTTGCACTGCTTGTCTCAAGTTGCCAACAAAGTTTGGAACAAACTGTTAACAACTTGTAACAACCTTGTTGATATTATCAGATTTGTTGCAAGGTTGTTCCAACAAGTCCGATACAGTCATGATATAACAATACTGTTACAACCTTGTGTGGTCAACCTTGTAACATTCTTGTTATATCATGACTGTATCAGACTTGTTAGAATAACTTTGCTATAAGTCTGATAATGCCATCAAGCTTGTCACAAGTTGTTGACAGCTTGTTTCAAACTTGTTACAACAACTGGGAACAAGCAGTGCGAACACAACTTGTCAACAGCTTGAGAACAGATTTGCAACAACTTGTTTGCAGACCTGTAACAACTTGTGCTTTTTTTATGTGTGTACTTTAATTGATATTTGTATAGTTTTATATTGTAATTGTCTTATTAATACAATGTTCATTAATTTTGTTACTGCAGAATTCTCAAAACCTTGTTTGGTAGGGATGCAGCTACCTGAAAAATATGAGGAGAAAGTTGATGTTTTTCTAGTGAAGAGGCCTTTCGTCGGGAATTTTGTAGCCAAACGAAGAAGGACCTCCTCGATTTGTTATTATTGGTTATATTTAGGAATTCTCAAATATTCTTCCTCAGTATGGTAGGTTAGTTGTTACCATTTAAATGAATATAACTGGAACACTACCTTCAGAAAAAAACTGCCTATCTTTTTCTTTTAGCCAAATCTTACGCCCAGACACACATCTGAAGGTAAGATCATGCGCATGATTATATCATGATTGAGCGCTCTTCCCATGCGTGAAAAGACTGGGTCTGGCCTTCAAGTTGGCTTCAAATTTCCGGTTGGAGGTAGCGCTGCAGTTATATTCATTTCAATGGTTGTTATTAGCCAGTACTAATGAAGGGCCTTTGCTCAAAATGTTTTTAGTGTATTTTTCAGGCAGTTGAGACAACAGCAGTAATCAGTGTTGTTCAATGTTAATGGGAAATCAAACCTCGACAAATGCAATCATTTGTGGTTTAACATATTAATTATTTACGCATAAGTAAATTTTAATGATGTCGAGATATTTGTAGAGATTGAGCCATAAGATTGAAGAAAATGAGTCATTATCCAAACTAATTCACACTTCATAAGTTTATTTCGAGCAGAAAAAATTGCATGATTCTATTAAATATTATTGATCTTAGTAATGGCATCTCAAATGTGTGGTTCCAGTGTCGGTAGCATTATAGGCATGAACAGCCTGTATACGTAGCGACGACAGCTGTAGATTGAAAACTCTATCTGAGATTTATTTTTCACAGCAATCTGCAGCCATCTAAATTATCATTTGCCAGTCCATTTATATAAGTTGCAGCGGCATTAGATTATTCTATAAATTGATCTTGATTTACCATTAACCCATCGAGTGACAGCACTCTCCACTTGACGAGTAAACTCTCATGGCGTTAGACAGAGTAAAATAATACAGTGCCGCTTACAGTCGAACCGGATGTTCTCTTGCAAGCAACTTTCAAACAATGTAACAGCACATTTAAAATACAAGCCACAAGCTCAACTGCAAATGGCTGCAAATAGGTTCATTCACAATGGACCTATTACCAAATGAACAAAATTTTGATCTAGACAAGTTTAGACAAAAATTTCATCACAGCCGAAAGAGCATCACAAAATTAGTAATATTCCGAAGTTTCATTGCAAAATGTTGTAAAATGCGGATAATATAGCCCTGCGAAGTTTGCCGTTTTTCAGTCATTTTGTATTACAATATTGATACAAATTGATACTGCTTTCTGAAAAAGGTATCAATTTCCCGCGCGTAATACAAAATGACTGAAAAACAGCAAACTTTGCAAGGCTATATTATCCGCATTTTACAACATTTCGCAACAATTTTGTGATGCTCTTTCAAGCTGTGATGAAATTTTTGTCTAGACTGTCTAGATCAAAATTTTGTTCATAAGGAATAGGTCCATTTAGGTGTTTCGAATTTGTCAATAACAATATGTTGTTGTTTTACAAACACTGGTTCAATGGCAGCTAACAGACGTCAAATCAACGTTCATTCATGGTTGATTATACAATGTCAACTTGTGAAGTAATCTCAATGTTGTTTCAACGCGGATTCAACGTTAAATTATGGTTGACAGATCGGGAACCTAATCTCAATGTTGTTTCAACGTCAAAAGAGTAACATTGATCCAATTTGCATTTTCAATTCTTTTTCAACGTCTATCCAACATCTGGGAGATCATTTCCGACGTTGACTCAACATTGAATAAATGTCGTTTTGCCTGTTGAGATATTTGTTACTTATTTATCAGAATAAATTCTCTTTAAATGCACTCTCCGAAGTCCGAGCAAATATTTTGAATGGCTTGCTTTCAAAATTTTTGCCTGACACATGGGCAGCAATGTAACAAATAATGTATATAATAATTGAAAATTAAAAACAAATTATAAACTGTTTATTTTTCTTACTCCTCAAAATTATTATAAAATTCATCATTGCCATACTATCATAGTTACCATCAGACAAAGTTACTATCAGATAGACTTAACAATCAACTTTACAGTACATAAATGATTTATTATAAAACTATATCTGACGTGACATATGGACATATATTTTTGTAGTAAACATCAAATATGCCAACTACTATTTCTCCAGTTAAAAATATATTACTCTACCTCAAACGGGTCGTACTCGCTTGGAGGGATAATATCCAATATTCCATCGTTTGATAACACATCTAAACCGCTATCTCCGTCCATAGTTTTAAAATGAATGCCCCTTCGTCTCCGACCATATTTTGACAAGGAGTGAAAAAATTTGTCCACTTTTTAAGACCATTCCAGACAAAATCCTTTGTTTAACTGGTGTGAAACTTTGAATACATCAAGGCAAGTATATTTAGTATAATATCCAGCGATTTAGAGGTACTTTGAAGCTTTTTTCCCACAAAAATACTATGAAAGAATAGCCATTATTTTCTTTCTGGTGGATCTTTTGAAGCCCGCTAACTTCAAAAAACACCTTCTGCTCATGCGCAGTGCACTGGCCCCAGATTCTCGAGCAAAATTACTGCGCGCCGCTTTCGAACTGTTGCCATAACAACCCTTGACACTGGACGGTATGTGTATGATATTGAACTGGACCAATATGTGTCGTCAGCGTTGGTTGAGGAACCCAAACCAGTTGGCTTCATCAGTTCCTGTTGTCCCAAGAGATCTTGCAAGAGCTAGACTTTGTTGGCCCAATGCCCCGACCCCCGGGATACCCCCCCCAAAAAAAACCCATCCACTCTTTTGTCGAGTCAAGTTTGAGTCGCTCTCTTGTTAACTTCAGGTTACGTGTATAAACCTGACAGCAAAACGAGTCTATATAGTATATCACATCTTTGACATTTTGTAACAAGTTTGCCAACAAGCCGTCAACAGGATGTATTCACACTGCTTGTCACAAGTTGTCAACAGGTTTGAAGCAACTTGTTGACAACTTGTAACAACACAAATTCGTCACATGCTTGATATAACAAGATTGTTACAACCTTGTGTTGACAACCTTGTAACATCTTTGTTATGGCTGTAACAAATTTGTTAGCACAGTCAAGTTGTAACAGGTCTGCAAGCAAATTGTTACAAATCTGTTCACAAGCTGTCAACAAGTTGACCAAGTTGTGTTCGCACTGCTTGTTCCCAGTTGTTGTATCAAGTTTGAAACAAGCTGTTAACAACTTGTAACAAGCTTGGTGGCATTATCAGACTTGTAGCAAAGTTGTTCTAACAAGTCTGATACAATCATGATATAACAAGAATGTTACAAGGTTGACGACACAAGGTTGTAACAATATTGTTGTATCATGACTATATCGGGCCTGTTGGAACAACCTTGCAACAAGTCTGGTAATAGGGCCATTTATACGTGACAAAATAAGTCGCGACTTACATAAGACGCGACTTAAATAAGTGGAGTTATCGCATAAATGGTTCTTTACGGCTTTGGTCTTATTTATTTGCTATAGCTATAATGTTGTTTTGGTTGTTTTTGTTTTAATATGCAAGGGTAATAATTTTACGTTGTTTCAAGTTTCTGGCATGTGTAGTTAGACTTTTTGTCTAAAATTTCTTATTTAAGACGCGACTTAAATAAGAACAGCTAAAAGTCCTGTTCTTATGTAAGACGCGTCTTATCCAAGACGCGTCTTACATAAGAATTTTGTACCTTTTATACCACAAACTCGCGTCTTGCTTAAGTCGCGTCTTATGTAAGTCGCGTCTTATTTTGTTCCGTATAAATGGCCCTAATATCAACAAGGTTACAAGTTGTTAACAGTTTGTTCCAAACTTGTTGACAACTTGGGACAAGCAGTGCGAAGACAACTTGTTTTTACGCGTGTACAAGGCTGATAATGACATCAAGCTTGTTACAAGTTGTTAACAGCTTGTTTCAAACTTGTTTGCAACAAACTGGGACAAGCAGTGCGAAGACAACTTGTTGACAGCTTGTGAACAGACTTGTAACAACTTGTTTACAGAGTTGTTACAAGCTGTGCGTTTTTACGCGTGTACACACCACTACAAACATAAAAACGCACAAGTTGTAACAAACCTGCAGCAGACTTGTAGCAATGTTGTTCCAACAACTTGTCAACAGGATGTGTTCGCACTGCTTGTTCCCAGCTTGTTGACAACTTGCTACAAGGTTGTTTAACTCAACAGACTTGTCACAAGTTGTTCCAACAACTTGTTATCGTCCTGCAATTCAACAATTTGTCAACAAGTTGTAAGTGACAACCTTGTAGCAACTTGATAAAATAACAGCATTGTTACAACTTGTTGACAAGCTTGCTACAAGCCTGTTGCCAACACATCTTGTTGACAAGTTAATTTGTTACAGGTCTGCTGTCTGCAAACAAGTTGTTACATATTTGTTCACAAGCTGTCAACAAGTTGTGTTCGCACTGCTTGTTCCCAGTTGTTGTAACAAGTTTGGAACAAGTTGTTAACAACTTGTAACAAGCTTGATGGCATTATCAGACTTGTCACAAGGTTGTTCTAACAAGTCTGATACAGTCATGATATAACAAGAATGTCACAAGGTTCACGACACAAGGTTGTAACAATACTGCTATATCACGACTGTATCGGACTTGTTAGAACAACCTTGTCACAAATCTGGGGCCGGTTGTATAAAACTCTTAATCACTTTTTTAATCACTATTTTGTAGTTAAATAGTGATTAACTCTCAAATAGGCGCTTCTTATTGGATGACGTTTGCACTTAACTATAGTTAACTTTAATCACTTTTTTATACAACCGGCCCCAGATGTCATCAAGCTTGTTACAATTTGTTAACAGCAAACCCACCGGTCCCACCTGCAAAGCAGGCGCTCTTTGAATTTTAATTGCCCACGTGACCCGGTCAAGGTCAATATTTAACTAGCACATGACATGTGATGACATCATAGATATTGCGTCATCTTTGTTATGATTTTGTTCGAGAACAAAACAAACCGAGCATTGTATAGTAGAAGCTTTCTTCGCTGAAATTTGGCAAAAATCGGGAATAAAACTACAAAATTTTGAGCTATTATTGAGAGCGATTAAAAATGGACGTACCACGAATACTTGTGAGAGAAGAAGATCCTTACAACGATGTTTCCAGCCCAGAACAAAACCAAGAGGGGGCTTCGACCTCTATAGACTACAACTACCTAGCTTTGCCAACAAGGCCGAGACGTCTTAAACGAAATAGCATGTCGAGTGTAGACAGTACCTCATCGGAGAAGCTTTCTGTTGACGAAGAACAATCTGAACAGGCTAGTCCAAGCGAAACTCCGAAAAGAACCGGCAAAAAACGGGGTAGAAAGCCGACTCAAATGAACTTGGAAGCCAAGCTCGAACGAAGTCGCCAGTCGGCCAGAGAATGCAGGGCTCGAAAGAAAATAAGATACCAATGTCTCGAGGATACTATAGCCGAAAAGGAAGCTAAAGTTTATTCTTTGAGGAAAGAAGTACATAAGGTTTGTTCGGCGCGGGAAATATTAGCTGTGTTTACTTAAATTTAATATATCAGTATTTATACAGAAGGGAATTGTGTTTATACCCATCTATTGTAGGGACATTTTTATGTATTTAGCAAAATAATTTGCTGCCTTTTTAGGGTTTTTTCACATTTCGTGATAAAACTAAAATTTTGGCATCCGAACTGAAGAGGAAAATAATTTGTTTGGACAATCGGAAACGATTCCCATGGTAAAATGCTAAAGCTTCTCAGCTTGAGATAATTTGCATTTATAAAATAGGAATATTGGCAAAGTAGCAATTACCGCACAATGTGGCAATTGTACGACAATGTAGCAAATATGTGCATTGGAAGTTTTAAAATTGTTCAAATAGTCAATGTTTTATGGTAAATCTATTTGGTCTATTAAACCGGTTGAAACTATATTCAAGTACTCTGCTTATAGGTCTAAAGTTCATCCAAGGTCTATCGTAATTATAGGCCTTTGTCATTGGGCCATTCCATTTAATATAGGCACGCCCCCCCCCCACCCCCTATTGAGGGGTCTGGATATCCTATGGGGGGAGGGTGTTTTTACCTTAAATTTTCCTAGAGGGTAGCTTAAGAAATTTTCAAAAAAATAGCAAAAATTAGGTGTTTTAGTGATATCTAGGGGGGTAAAAACGATATCCCAAAGGGGTTATAAAGAAATCCATGGGGTAACTTCCAAAAATCGCATCCAAGGGGGTTCTAAAATTTTTATATCCTAAGGGGATTATGGAGGGACCCCTCAATAGGGGGATGCCTATATTAAATGGAATAGCCCATTATACTGTGTTCTCTCAGATGACTTAACTTCATCAAAGAGAGACTACATAATTGGTTGCTAATCAGGTCGACTATCGGACTGTTAGCCTCATTAAGATATATACCAGAAATGGATAGTCCATTTGTCAGATCATCGTTCAAGATTGTCCATCTCTCGTATACATCGACCAAAAACTTCACTCATTCAAAAGTGACCGCTTAACCCGTTAAGTTGCATTGCACCCTACCTTGTTATTTTACTCTGCCTAATGCCAGCAATTTTACTTATCAAGAGGAGAGCATTGGCACTCAATACATTAACAGGGTGCATGGGCAGATAGTCTGATTAACCCAATGAGTGGCAGCACTCACCCCCTGACAAGTAAAATCGTCGCATCTGGGCGCATTGCCACTTAAAAGGTTAAACATCACTACTGTACATACATACATACATAGTCAATTATATTTTATTTTATCTTTTAACTTTCAGTATATCGGTTGGGCCAAATCAATCGACAATGGGACAGTACCAGAAGATCTGGCTGATTTCCTGGATAAAGCAACACCCAGTGTGAAGTCAGAAGACTGAAGATCTGTGGACATGCACGTCAACATGGGTTGCCATGCTAGGGTACCCCACGTCAACCATCGGTTACCATACCACATCCCTCCCAAAATACCAGAAGTATCAGAAGATGGATTAATTAAACACCCACTCAGAAAGATGCCCCACATGTAACCATCCAATGCCTTTTTGCAGTAGAACTATCGCCGCACAATGTAGATTGTGATATTACAGTGGCAGACACTCTATGAAATATTTATGCAAACTAAATTTTGACCCTTTAGCTCATTTTAGCCCTTGATACTTTTGTGGCTGAAATAATTAAATGGATACCAGGTTTTCATGATAAAAAAATTGCTACACAACTGCATTATATATAGTCCGCTATATTTCAGACACTTTATGAAATATTTATGCAAACTAAATTTTGCCACCAAATTTCAATTTTACCCTTTATCACATTTCAGCCCTTGATACTTTTGTGGCTGAAATAATTAAATGGATACCAGGTTTTCATGACAAAAAATTGCTACAACTGCATTATATAAAGTCAGGTATATTTCATTTTGGTGTAGTTGCCCCCTTCACCCCCCCCCCCACACACACACTCATGTCTGCCACTATATAGAAGTACCGATACCAGTAAAACAGTCCAATATTTGCAAATGATAATTATAGAACAGTAGTAAACTGTACAATATACACTAAAGTATTAACTACTGTAGTTAAACGGGTCATTCCAGAGAACATCCATACCTCCCAACAGACTTAAGGAAATTAGACGTTAACCCACCCCATACCTCTACCCCCTTCAGATATCCTAATACACTTGCCATTACCGGAAACATTTTTTCCTCCTCCTCAAGACAGCAGAAATTTCCTCTGTGGGGGAGAGTGTGGATCTTTTCATGGAATGCCCGAACATAACAAATAACACAACTTTGTAATTCAGGTACTGGGTTAATTGGATCTCAATTATGTATGTGAAGTTTAATGTACTGCAGTTTTTTTTATAATACAGTTTGGAAACTGAGCAATACAATTTCATCCCCAGAATGTCAGAACATTGCAACGTTTGTATCCAGATAACTAATTGAGTTATTGGTCCAGTTTTGTAACCCCGTATACTGTCGGGGATATGGTAAAGGGGGTAATCGATAGACAGGCTTCCCCCCTCCTGCTGGAATAGATGTGTTACTGTGAACAAAGTTGTTGGCCAGAGGCGCGGGTCCTTGATAGGGGCGTTTGTTATTCTGTTGCAGATTTTTTCCACTTCCACGTCCTAAAATGTTGAAAGAAAACTCTCTCATTTTCGGAGATATGACTTACTTGCAATTCAAATAATTAGCTAAACAGATTTATTAACACACTTTAACATTTTGCATGAATGCTGAATGGCCTTCATCAGGTTGTAAATGGCTTCTACTGCCATCCAAATGAAAGGCTTTCAATTAAAATGTCAAAAGTACAGCATTTTATATTTCTTCAGGTAGTTCAAACAATGCAAGCTTAGGCCTAAAAAAACCTGTGGTTCCGGTTCTCAACGGAGCCTATTTTTTTCTGCCGACCCTATTATTTTTTCAATGTGATTGACTGTGAGACCCTATTTTCTCCGGGTGGTTGTGGGCTGCTGGCAAAATGGCATCTGTTGTCACACTAATTTTTGAAGGAGAAAAATGAAAAAAATATTTATTTCCGACCTACCTAATTTTTTTGCGATATGAACCCAGACCCACAGGTATTTTTTTTAGACCTTATTGAAGATAAGACCACCAAATATTAAGGATATCTTTTTGACAGGTAATTTAGATAAAACCAATGACAGCTTACTGTATTATAAAACATTTGCAACATTGGAAGTTGCCCCACATTTGAGATAACACTTCAGGCAGACACAAAGTGGAATACTACCTACACTGCATCCAAATTTTAGACAAAAAATAAACATATACTGTTACCCGTTGTGGGTCGTTTTCGTTTGTTCTGGCCATTGTTGGGTGGTTGAACACCATGCATCTTGTGTTTATTGCTTTCAATATGCTGGTCAAGCTGTGATTGTGAGTTGACAGTTATGTTGCATTTCTCGCAATGATATTCACGCAGGTTCATCCCACCACCACTACCTGCCGCTGTGTCTTTGTTTATACCAAGAATTGCATTTGAAATTTTCAAGTATCTCACATTTTCCCATTTCTCACCTAAATACATTGAATAATCAGTTAACTACACTACATAACTGGATAGCTCTATTGTAGTAAACTAAATAACTTTATTCACACTGGATATATCTCTACCAGTTCTAAACTGTTCTCTCTAGAGGTCCAGTAAGGATCAACTCTTATTGATCTAGTGTTACTACAGGAGGAAACCTAAATTAAACTAACTATATTTATACTGGATAGCTTTATCAGTTCTTAAAACTGTTCTTCCTAGAGGTCCAGTAAAGATCATCTCTTATTGATTCAATGTTACTACAGGAGGAAATCTAAATTAAACTAACTTTATTTATACTGGATAGCTTTATCAGTTCTTAAAACTGTTCTTCCTAGAGCTCCGGTAAGGATCATCTCTTATTGATCAAGTGTTACTCTACAGGAGGAAATCAAAATTAAACTAACTTTATTTAATTATACTGGATGGCTTTACCAGTTCTTAAAACTGTTCTTCCTAGAGGTCCAGTAAGGATCATCTCTTATTAATCCAGTGCTACTACAGGAGGAAACCTAAACTTACTTTATTCATACTGCATAGCTCTATCAGTTCTAAACTGTTCTTCCTAGAGGTCCAGTAAGGATCATCTCTTATTGATCCAGTGCTACTACAGGAGGAAACCTAAACTTACTTTATTCATACTGCATAGCTCTATCAGTTCTAAACTGTTCTTCCTAGAGGTCCAGTAAGGATCATCTCTTATTGATCCAGTGCTACTACAGGAGGAAACCTAAACTTACTTTATTCATACTGCATAGCTCTATCAGTTCTAAACTGTTCTTCCTAGAGGTCCAGTAAGGATCATCTCTTATTGATCCAGTGCTACTACAGGAGGAAACCTAAACTTACTTTATTCATACTGCATAGCTCTATCAGTTCTAAACTGTTCTTCCTAGAGGTCCAGTAAGGATCATCTCTTATTGATCCAGTGCTACTACAGGAGGAAACCTAAACTTACTTTATTCATACTGCATAGCTCTATCAGTTCTAAACTGTTCTTCCTAGAGGTCCAGTAAGGATCATCTCTTATTGATCCAGTGCTACTACAGGAGGAAACCTAAACTTACTTTATTCATACTGCATAGCTCTATCAGTTCTAAACTGTTCTTCCTAGAGGTCCAGTAAGGATCATCTCTTATTGATCCAGTGCTACTACAGGAGGAAACCTAAACTTACTTTATT